AGTGCATACATGGAGTTGCTGCTATAATAATAGCCAAAAAATAATGAAGTGTAAGTAGGTGCAAAAACGCTGATGTCAACAGAGTTGCACACACTTTCACCTGTTCTGAATTTGGCCCACCACATGTAGTTTTGCTCACCACATTTAGGGCCTGATTCTCCATTGCCTGGCACTAGTGTTTGCTCATTTGCACCAGAGCAAAATGAATGTGAAGTGGGTACAAAATGCTACCATTCTGTTTTCGCAATACTTTACCTCCCCTCTCCCCCCAACCCCCTTCATATTGGCGTAAATTACTTCACAAGTCACAGTTACCATATCAGAGCCTAATTCATTGTGGCTCTAACATCTCCATAGAAGAAATGCTACTGCATTGATCCCTGTCACTGTCATGAGGTAAATTATCCAGTAATAACCTGAAGGTGATGATCTGAATTGAGAAGCCACTGTGAATTATGCCATTGCATAGATTGCTTGTTAAAATATCTTTTTCTGCTTTTACCTACCCAGTCAGCCTAACTTATGCAAATTAAACAGCATTTCTATAGCTTTTGTTCATCCTTACTAGTAGTTTTCCAGTCCTAAAACTCCATATATTAACTAATAATGTAGCACTTTGTGTTTGGCATTTTCATATTACATATGCATAATTTCCCCCTCAATACAAAAGTCACTAATGGATCATCACTCTGCAAATGCACCCAACTATTTCAAGGCAGGAGGAGTGGGACTGCTAAGTGACAGTACTTGTGAGTATATGGCACATTTCCATGAGGAAACTGATCATTAATTTTTTGAATTCACACTGAAAGATTGGCTCAGGGAAGCGGGACTAAAATGGTAAAATATCAAATGTTTCATTCAATTTAAAGCATACACAGCCCATCATCATGCTGCTTGTTGGCTAGCACCTTGATTTAAATTACATGGCTTGTTAGTAGAGCTATGCCTGTAGCCATATCACCTTAGGTTGAGGCCTTGTCACTTTGTAAAGCATTACAGCTGGCTGAAATTTTTTAAAACTTGTTTTTTGGTTGCAAACATTTTCACAAAAAAGTGTGTGCCCCCCCCCCCCTATTTCTGATGCATTCCACTAAGCGGGGCTGGACCATGTTAGTATATGGACGAGAGACCTCCCCCCAAAAAAGCCAAATGCAGCAGGACATGCTGTTCTTATAGGTGGCACTCTTCTCTCCAAGTCAATAGTGAAACAGTGTTCCAGCACATTATTAATGGGTGCTCTGCTGCTGCAGGTCCTGACTATACATTCATAGACGTGAAGGCCAGAAAGGACCATTAGATCATATAGAGTGACCTCCTGCATAACACAGGCCACAGAAATTCATCCATTATTGAGACCAACAACTTGAGTTTAACTGCAGCATAGCTCCCAAAAGGCATGGCTGTTCCTCTGAAACCGTCAACTTGAGTTTAACTGCAGCATAGCTCCCAAAAGGCATCTGGTCTTGATGTGAAGACTTCAAGAGATGGAGAATCTCCACATCCTTTGGTAGTTTGTTCCAATGATTAATCACCCTCTCTATTAAATATTTGTGCCTTATTTTTAATATGAGTAGGGCTGGCTTTAACTTCCACCCATTGGCCTTATTTTGCCTTTCTTTAGAGATCATACACTGATCAGTTAATCTCTTCCTCTTCTTTTTGTTAAACTAAAGAGATTGAACTCCTTGAAATGCACTGAAAAGCATTTTTCCTGCCCTCAAATAATTTTTGTAGCTCTTCTCTGCACTCTTTTTCTCTAATATTTCACATCCTTTTTTAAAATGTTGACATCAGAATTGGTTCCAGTAAACTATTTGCAGTTATTAAACTACGTAAGCATTTTCCACAAGAATTGGAATAAAAATTCCAGCATGTGCCCAAATTCTCACATGGGCTATTTTATTCTGCCTCACTGGAAGGTTCCCTGCAGTTTCAATCCGATACAGTATTTTTCCTCTCTTCTAAACTTGTTGTGTGGCTGCATGCTGGCAAATTGTTGTGCTTCACCCCAGTGGTGGATGGCTACACTAAAATGGTGGGTGAAGTAATTTCCATGTGCTTATCCATGGTTGTTTTTTTTTTTAAAAATAATATTATATATCAGTTTGATTGAGAGCTTTCTGGATAAAAGCTATTTTACAAATATAAGACCGCATTGACTCGGCAATTCACGTTGCTGCTCTGTGAGGAATCAGTATTTTTTCCCAAGCCCAGGTCTGCTGTTGTTTTGATGAAGGAAGGCCTGAGCAGCTTTCTTCTCAAAGAAAGAGATAAAGATTAACTGCTACCAAGTTTAGACAAGTTCATGATAAATTTCTGGTCTGTAAATAATTCTGTAGGACCCAGAGTCTAGGTCATATACAGTAAACAGCTGGCACAATTACTAGATAAACTACATATATATGTAGAGCTAGGAATAGAACAAATTGGTAGTTGATAGCAACAGAACTTTCTAAACTGTACAATGAAGGCCTTTAGTAGTGCAAAGTTGGAAGCAAGTGTTATCTTCCAAAACTGAGACTGGGAATCCAATTTTGAGAATGTAGACATGGGGGATCCAGGGGACATAGTGTACTTAGAATTTCAGAAAGCCTTCGACAAGGTCCCTCACCAAAGGCTCTTAAGCGTAGTAAGCTGTCATGGGATAAGAGGGAAGGTCCTCTCCTGGATCAGTAACTGGTTAAAAGACAGGAAACAAAGGGTAGGAATAAATGGTCAGTTCTCAGAATGGAGAGAGTGGTGTCCCCCAGGGGTCTGTACTGGGACCAGTCCTAGTCAATATATTCATAAATGATCTGGGAAAAGGGTAAACAGTGAGGTGGCAAAAATTGTAGATGATACAAAACTACTCAAGATAGTTAAGTCCAAAGCAGACTGTGAAGAGCTACAAAGGGATCTCACAAAACTGGGAGACTAGGCAACAAAATGGCAGATGAAATTCAATGCTGATAAATGCAAAGATCACAACTATATAGAAAAAGATGGGGTCTAAATTAGCTGTTACCACTCCAGAGAAAGATCTTGGCATCACTGTGGATAATTCTCTGAAAACATCCACTCAGTGTGCAGCAGCAGTCAAAAAAGCTAACAATGTTGGGAATCATTAAGAAAGGGATAGATCATAAGACAGAAAATGTCATATTGCCTCTATGTAAATCAATGGGACATTCACATCTTGAATATTGCGTGCAGATGTGCTTGCCCCATCTCAAAAAAAAGATACATTGGAATTGGAAAAGGTTAAGAAAAGGGCAACAAAAATTATTAGGCGTATGAAACAGCTTCCATATCAGGAGAGATTAATATGATTGGGACTTTTCAACTTGGAAAATGGGGGATATGATAGAGGTCTATAAGATCATGACTGGTGTGAAGAAAGGAAATAGGAAGTGTTATTTACTCTTTCTCATAACACAAGAACTAGGGATCACCAGATGAAATTAATAGGTAGCAGGTTTAAAACAAACAAAAGGAAGTATTTCTTCACACAACGTACCGTCAACCTGTGGAACTCTTTCCCAGAGGTTGTTGTGAAGGCCAAGACTATAACAGGGTTCAGAAAAGAACTAGATAAATTCATGGAGGACAGGTCCATCAATGGCTATTAGCCAGGTTGGGCAGGGATGGTGTCCCGAGCCTCTGTTTGCCAGAAGCTGGGAATGGGAGACAGGGGATGGATCACTTGACGATTACCTGTTTTATTTCCTCTGGGGAACCTGGCATTGGCCACTGTCAGAAGACAGGCTACTGGGCTAGATTGGACCTTTGGTCTGACCCAGTATGACTGTTCTTATAAAAAGAAGTGGTAAACACCCCAAGTAACTCCCGCCCATCACATTCTCTGCACCTGAAAAGACAAAGGAAGCAGCCGCTGGACTCTGGGGGAGGGGTCCTGACTGAGTTAGGTCAGTAAGACTGCTGAAAGCATGTGATGATGAAACTTCTCTTTGAAGGCTAGGATGCTTTGAATCTAATATAATTTTTAAGTTAAGTACCAAGTAAGTATTTTAATCTTGTAACCATTTCTGACTTTTATGCCTCATTACTTGTACTCACTAAAAATCTGTCTTTGTAGTTAATAAACTTGTTTCATTGTTTTAATCTAATCCAGTGTGTTTAAATTGAAGTGTCTGGATAACTATTTAAAATAATAAACTGGCATATTATTCCCTTAAAGGAATAACAGACATAGTATATTTGTACTGTTGAGGAGAGGGCTGGGCAGTACAGGACAAACATTTCCGGGGGAAGATCCAAGACTGGGTGTGTGTTGAGGTTGCCCTGCAGCATAACCAAGGCTTGTGAGAGCCAAGGTGTGGCTTGGATGACTGCAGTACACACAGACACAGCTGGGAGTGACTTACATGCTGGAGGTTGTTTGTGAGCAGTCCAGGTTGGAGGCTACAACAGCAGAGCATGATAAAGGGCACCCCAGGTTACAGAGCACAGGTGACACAATCCCCCCACTAGTCTGGATTGTGCCCCAGTATGTCACACACACATAAAAGGAGATTGTAGAGTACTTTCAATCCAACATCTCACCTATCCTCCAACTGCTATAATCAGAGAACGTAATTTTACTTTAGATTCTAAGGCTGGGCTTTTCAAAGCAGAGAGCCACTCAACTTCCACTGAAAATCAATTAGGTATCTACTCCAATAGGCTCCTTTTAAAATTTCTCATGACAGACATCATTAAAATGTATCTGAAAATGCCAGTGAAAATACACATCCATATTAATTTCAACCCCATTTTCAGAACACAAAACTGGGGGAAATTGTGTGGCAAATGTTGAATTTTTAATGGCATATACTGGCTATAAATTTATTCATTTGAAATTACCCAGAATGAGCCATAATTTTGCTAGAAACTGTTTTGTATAGGGCCATCTAGACTTGCGCCTGGGAGCTGAACTGGATGATCCCACAGTTTTTGGTTTTTTTTCTTCCGTCTGTAACTTAACATTCATAGACAGACTTCAGGATGTGACATCTTTTTATTCATTTCACATAACACATACAAACTTTCTATTTGTTCTAAGGCCCATTTTCCTTGCACAATTTGACCAACGAGGAACACAGTTTATTATCTGTTTTTATTAACTAAAAATCCCAGACTAATGATGAGGAAACATTTCCAGGAGCTTTGAACAGCAGCTGGGTTCTTACTGTGCCAGAAACTCCATGTCATTATGCACAAGTGACCAAGAGGTAACTAGGAAACATCACACAGTCATGACAGCAGCGAGATGCAGGAAATCCATCTTCCGTGGGGGACTTACAGTCACTACAGAGCAGACAGGACCCTGATGCTTTAATCTCCAACACTGGCTTTGTTTGAAAAAATAAAAAGTTACATTTGGACAGAGCAATAACTCAGATAAGCACAAGATCTTTACTGGAAATGTGAAGGTTGAAAGTCACAATAAAAGGGAGAAACATCTGTTTCCTGCACAGCTCTTGTCAAACATTTTTATAAAGTTCTAAATAGTTTCATTGTGATTTGTGAAAAGGTCCAAAAATTCAGGGAACAAAGTGAGGAGAACTTTTGAAGGGAATCCTTTTCTCTTTTTATTCCATTTATTTCTCCTCCGAATGGGTGTATATTTTTAGATTCTCTTCCCTCCTCTCCAAACCCCATGATCAAAAATGTAATTCTGCTCTTTGATCTCTCCTGTGCTTCCTTTTGAGTGTTGCTTGACACGGCACTTCCCACAAGAGATGCAAAATTCATTCATCCTGAATGAGTAGAAAATAAAAGCTGCAATTGTTAGTGACAAATATTTGGGGTTCCCTCCCTCTTCTTCCCCCTTTTCACAACAAGAAGGCCACATACACAGATTCAAGAACAATACAGACAGGTGAGTTGACAAGTGTTTAGGCTATTGATTAGCTATTGAAATTCTCTTACAGGTGGAGGCCAAAGACCTGGAGGGTAGATATACTCTTCTGCCAGCCATCGCTTCTCAATGAAGCTGTGAGCTGTTGCTGTGAACTCGAACAGCAGTCATATTGTGCACATAGCTATCACTGAAGCCTAGAGGTTTACAGGACTAGACATTTTATACATATAACAAAAGCCTCCAAAGATACACTAGATAGAATATAAAATTTAGAAGGGATATAAACCTTCATGTTTCAGGGCATAAACCAATCACTAACTTAGAAGACTTAAGACAAAACTTCCTTTATGGGCAGGTTTTTCCATAATTGTCACTTATAGGGTTTTATGCAACTTCCCCTGAAGCATCTCATACTGGCCACAGGAAACCACATTAGATAGACCATTGGTCCAATGTCCGGAACATAGGTATTGTCATATATCTGCTATAGACACTCAATGAAGCCTGTCCTAGAAATCAAGCAGTCTTTAAAAGAAACCAACAGTCTCTTAAATAGACAGATTTCCCTATCGCAAAGCCAGACCCACATTTCCCATAGGGCTCAACAAGAGGAACTTATTTGTGAGTACATATAATATTGGAAAGCTGCACTTGAGGGTCAGTTCTTTGTTCCACGATGACACCATGCTGTGCAAGTAGTTTGGTTCAGGTGAAATGGGAAGTAGAGGTCAGGCTTGGCTAGTAGGAGAGCAAATTGCAAATATTAAGGCCAAATATTGTTTAAATGCACTTTCTTATGTAGAAATGAAGATTCATTTAGTACAAGGGGTGGTGAGGTAGGTTTGTCTTTTTGTTTTAATTTGGGGGGAAACTGTGGTGTCAATTTAAAAAGGGAACAATAGCAATGACTTGATCCGGGAATAGATGCTATCCAAGCTCTTGACGACAGATGCTATGCAAATTTCCCTCACTCATACCTCCCAGTAAGCCTCAGTTCTACTTACTCAAATTTAGTCCATGGCATTTCTATTGTGACAATCAGCATGGTTTAGATGCCAATTCTGGACCCCAGTTATTCCAGTCCTGGTCACACACCATTAGCACTGTCCATGAATCTTACTGCAGTTAAGTTCTGTTCCAATCCTCATACCCCCTACACAGCTTTACCAATGCATCTCAGTCATAAACTATCTTTGAAACGACTAAGCGCAGGCTGCTAATCATGACAATCTGTGTTGGTTTTGTTATGGGGAAAGGTGTCCCCTGAGACTAGATTAATAACCAAATGCTCTGAAGTGTCCTAATGAATGTGTCCTGATGTCTGCATCAATCAAAGCTGGGGTTTGGGTAGGAGTTATTAATGAAAGTGAACTAAACCATCTTACAAGTTGCATAAGAACATAAGAATGGCCATACTGGGTCAGACCAAAGGTCCATCTAGCCCAGTATCCTGTCTTATGACAGTGGCCAATGCCAGGTGCCCCAGGGGGAATGAACAGAACAGGTAATCATCATGTGATCCATCCCCTGTCACCCATTCCCAGCTTCTGGCAAACAGAGGCTAGGGACACCATCCCTGCCCATCCTGGCTAATAGCCATTGATGGACCTATCCTCCATGAACTTATCTACTTCTTTTTTTTTAACTCTGTTATAGTATTGGCCTTCACAACATCCTCTGGCAAAGAATTCCACACACTGACTGTGCATTGTATGACGAAGGAAAAAAGAAAAGCTCCATTTATTACAACTTCGACAGCTACGTGCTGAACGTGAGCACTGTAAGGTTTGAGGTAAGAACAGTGTTCTGCTACAGGGGTGGGCACTGGGGCTGTCCAGCCATCCCTCATCGAGGTGGGAGAATAGAGTCTTGAATCATGGCAGAAGGACCTCCCAGTAGCTGGTACTAGTCAGCTGAGGGTAGAGTGTTGAACTCTCTCTCTCTCTTCTCCCACAGCCTTCAATGAGAGCAGGATTGGGCCCAGATACTGCAGTCAGTCCATCCATCCCTGTGTCATCAGACAGATTTTATTTTTCTCAAGGCTTTTTTAGTTTATTTTAGTATCTCAGTGAGCCTGAAGGCCATGAACCCTCTTCGGGGAATAGGTGCTAAAGAACACAAAGAAACAACGTCTACTGAGTGTGTAACAAAACACAGCTTCATAAACAACTTGAACTGAATATCCTGATCTGCAGCTGAGCAAGCTGTCAGGAATGGGTCCAAGAGAACTCCCTCCTCTCCCCCCAGCGGGTTGTATCTAAGCCCTTCACACACTAGTAGGAGGATTAGGCACTGAGGCAACAATCAAGAAGACAAGAATATGCTTTATCTTCTGTCACAGCCCTAGACCAAGTGATGAAAGGTAAAATACAGGATTAATAAGCAAACCACTGGCAAAAATATCTGCTGTCAAAAGAAAAAGGAGAATGCTAAGGCCTGGAACGATGTGCAGGAGATTCAGACAGGCAATGTGAGAGAAGAATGAAAAGGATGGAAGGATTTCAATGGGACAAATTCAGAAAGAAAATGACACTTTATTCAGAAAGCTGGAACCATATGCCACAGCAGTGAGTGACGGAATAGGCTTTGAATGGGTTCCGCTCATCTGGCTTTCTGCTATATCCGAGCCTTCAAAGCTAGAAGACCATCCCTTAGAGCTTAGCTTCTTTAAAGAGTGTCTGAAATAAATTACATTTGGTTTTATAAATCTGCCTTTGTGTCCTTCAGAGGTTTCCAATTGGGGTTTCATCCAAAGTGCAGGAAGTTCAGAAATGTTGCTTACCTGCTGAAATTACGTGTGTCGTTAAATATATGATGTGAAGGAAGCAGACATGTTACCTTTCAGCCAGAGAGCTGTAGAGCAAGTTGTCCTGACTTGAGAGAAAAGCTTTCACTTCACTCTCCGCTGCAAAGGGGACCTATTTATTTGTTTGCAAAGGGCCAAAATCACTGTTTCAATCTCTTTGCAGTTTGCTTCTGAGCTGCTTGTCTGTTTGCTTCCCCTCCTTTGATCTTGGTGGGAGCAACTCTAAGTACGGTTACATTTACACCTTCTTCTAGATCATTAATGAAAAATTCAGTGTGGTTTCCTATAGTGACCCCTGTGATACTTGGGACTTGAGTCAAAGCCCATTGAAATCAATGAAAATCTTTCCATTGACATCAGTGGGCTTTGAATCAGGCCTTTGGTACTGTTTCACATTTGAAGGGCTACAATTAATGACTATATTGTGTCTCCTTCATCAGCTAATTTCTAATTCATGGTGAGTTCTCTTTATCTAGCTGGTGTTTTTCCTGCATCTTTGTTTGCTACGTAGTGCGACTATATAACGACTTGTTTCTGAAATTCAAATATCCTCTGTGGCACATTCCCCATTATCTACTTCATCAGTAATTATGCTGAAGGCCATTAGATTCATTTGGCTTGAGCTAGTGTTAATAAATGCACGCTGTTAATTGGTCATTAGACACATCTCTCCTGAATCCTCACATATTGACTCACATCAGCCTGTGCTCCAAAATTTTCCCTGGAACAGACAGTTCACCAAACCTACAATGTGACAGGCTTGCCTTCTAGTGAAATTGGGGAATAGCAGGGAAGGTTCTGGGGTTTGCTTGCCAATGACTAATTCACCAAATCACCCATTTGCCTAGACGTTTTATCACTGAGAAGTGTCAAAGAACTCAAAACTATATCTACAGAGCATGAAAAGGTCCGGATCACACAAATTTCCTCGAATGCCTCTCCCCCCCACCCCAAAACTCCATTTGAAAAGCCTGATAGCTATGTTACAGAGCTGCCTGCTTCCCTCAATGTCTATGCCCTATTGCACTGTATCACCTAGAAAGAAGCTCTGTCCCTTGCCCAAGAAGGTCACTTGTACTTGGCCAAAACTGGGCACCCAACTCTAAGTGAATGGCAATCATGATCAGAGAAAGTCCTTGGATTTATCTCTCCATCTTTCCCACCTGAAATAACTATCCAGGACTCTATCCTGAGAAGCAGCGACTGTCAAATAAATTTGGGCATCATGGTGGATAATCAGCTGACCATGGGCTCCCAGGTCGACACTGTGGCTAAAAAGACTAATGCAATCCATGGATGCATAAACAGGGGAATCATGTATTTGGCACTAGTGTGATGGCTGCTGGAATACAGTGTCCTGTTCTGGTGTCCATACTTAAAGAAGGATGTTGACAAATTGAAGAGAGTTCAAAGAAGAGTCACAAGAATGATTGAAGGATTAGAAAACTTGCCTTACAGCGATAGACTCAGAGAGCTCAATCTATTTAGCTTAACAAAGAGAAGGTTAATGGATGTCTTGATTAGCCTATGAGTACCTACAAGGGGAACAAATATTTAATAATGGGCTCATCAATCTAGCAAAGAGAGGTATAACATGATCCAATGGCTGGAAGTTGAAGCTAGACAAACTCAGACTTTTAACAATGAGGGTATTTAACCACTGGAACAACTTACCACGGGTCATGATGGAGTCTCCATCACTGACCATTTTAAAATCAAGCTTAAATATTTTTCTATAAGAGATGTTTTAAAATTATTTTGGGGAAACTCAATGGCCTGTGTTATACAGGAAACCAGACTAGATGATCTTAATGATGCCTTCTGGCCTTGCATCTCTGAGCCTGGTGTAATGCCACAGCACCCCCATCTCTAGTCACTGGAAGTCTGAAAGAAAATATCCAGACTGCTACCAACAGTAAAAGAAGATTATTATTGTTATTATGAAACATTTATATATAGTAACGCCTACAGCCCAGCCAGTTTGGAGCCCCATTCTGCTATGTGCCAGACAAACACAGTAAATGACAATCCTTGCCTTAGAGATTCACTTTTGGGTCCAACAGTAGAGCATCTTGATTTTTGATACAAAG